TAAGAACTGTCAGATGGCAGGTGGTCTCAGACAGTGGGAGCAGTCTTTGTGATTGGCGTTGGATCTACTTCGGGGGCCAATTTTTCTTTAACCACTTGCCCTCCTGAGGATTTACCCCCCTTCATGACCAGGCCATTTTTTTCATTACGGCGCTGCGTTACTGTAACGGAATATACCCAAGTGCGGTCGGGTACCGGTTCCGTTACATTGGTGGCAAGCGGTGGGATTGTGCTTCCAGCTGTAAACACATCCAAACCACCACCGGGATTCAGATCAGGAAAGGAGACGTCAGTCACCCCAGTGGAGATATGGACCTGGCATCAGAGTTCCCAGGGCTGCTGCAGATCATCCTTGCAACATACCCCAGGACTGTGTCTACGGATCAGTACCTGGAGCTCAGGCAGCGGATTTGGGAGGTGCTTTGGAGAGGAGCAGTCCAGGCTGCAGGCTGCTGGTATGGACAAAGGCAAGTGCTACCCAACCGCAGGGGAACGGGCCAGGGACCATCGGAAGTCACGGATGCCATTCCTGGGAGAATAACCCCAGGAGCAATGGGTGGCTGAGTTGGACAGACTGGTCCAGCAGAACTGGACAATAGATATCGGGCTCTGCGGTGGCACGCAGAGCAGGAATATTTAGGGGTGTCCACAGAGTGTGCTCTCCTGAGGGACTTGACTTTGGTGGGCCTGGATTGCTGTGGGAGAGCCTTACAGACCTTTTTGTGTTTGGCGATAGAGGAGAACCTACTCTGAAGGAGTTGCGAGAAGGCAGAGAGGCTATGTTCGGTCTCAGAGGGGTCTCAGAGCTTGAGCCAGATCTGCAATACCTGCTGATGAAAGAACTGCATCTGGAAAGGGCATACAGGCAGCTGCTAGGACATGTTCGGCAGCATGCCCAAGAGTCATCAGTGGAAATTCCAGAGACTGGGGATCTGATAGACCTCTCAGCTGAGGAGGAACCAGCAGTAGACCTGGCAACAGGGCCAAACAGTACTGAACTCTGCCCAGCACTGGTAATGTCTCCTGAGTTCCACGGACAGGAGATGGTGAGCCCCGATCCCCAAACACCAGTTCCAGAGGCTGGGGATTTGATTAACTTTTTTACTGATGAGGAACCAGCCGGGGAGCCGCCAGCTGAAGCGCTGACAACCGGACAGAGGGTCCAGGACCTCTGCCCCATGCCTGTGGTAGTTTCAGAGGCCCAGGGTGAGAAGGGAGAGGAGATTGTTGTCCTCCCTCCCCCAGAGTCAGCCAGAGTGGAGGAAACTGTTCTCCCTCCCAAGCCAGGATCTGTGCACCAGGGGGACAGTGACAGTGGAATGCCATCCCAGCAGCAGATCCACAGTCTGGGATGGGAGGAAGTCGGCCTCCCCCCCACGGTTAGCCGGAGCAGATGTGGGGTCCCCAGCAGAAGCGCTGGCACCAGGGCAGAATGCCGCTGGCCTCTGCCTAGCAACTACAGTCACCACTTGGATACCCCAGGGATGCTGGGTAGTCGGCCCAGATCCCCTACAGAAGGATGGAGTCGGCCCAGCCACCCTGTCTTCTCTCCAGCGGCTGAGAGAGGATTTCCAGGAGAAGGACCAGTCCGTACTTCTCCCCAGCGGCGGGTATGTTCTACGGGAGAGGCAGAGGTTGGCTGGGTGAGTAGCGCTTGGTGTGGGACAATTTGCATGGGGTACTGTGTGGGTGCTGGCATTGAGAGACTGGAGGTGCAGAGTAACTTCAGAGTACATCCGTCTGGGATTTACTCCTGCGTTACTCTCCTGCCGAAAGGGGAGATATGTGACAGGAGTGACTTTTGGGGGTGGGGGGGACCGCTTGGTCAGCTCATGTCCCCCTCATTATGTTTAACCCCACCCTGTGCCTGTTAAGGGGTACAGGTGTGTATGTGAATGTCTGAGTCTTGTGTATAATGTGTTTCCTTTGTCTAGGCCACATGGCTGTCCATTGTCTGTTTGCCATGTGCTACCCCCCATTGTGCTGTGTCTTCCTGTCCAGCCAACTATTATGGGATGTACTGTTTGTGTATTGGTGTGGGGGTTGGTCAATGTCCTTTACCATGTGTTTCATCCCATTGTTCTGTGTCTGGTTGGATGGGGAGGGGTGATGAGGTGTTTCCTGCCTATACTGTAGCCCTTCCCACTGATAGGGTGGGCTGATGATGTGTTTCCTGTCCCTGGTTGTCTTTCCCCGTCCTCTGTATAAAACATGTTGTTTTGTGTACAATAAAAGTAGTTGGCTTCCTGTTTTAAGAGCTGGGTGCTGTCTTTTTTCTGAGGGATTTCAGGGTGTGGTCCGTGGATGGCGTTCGGACAGGGGAAGCTGCAGGATAATGGAATATACCCAAGTGCGGGTCGGGTACCGGTTCCGTTACAGTTACTTTGATTGACAATTGCAACGCTGCACCCAAATTAAATTTACATCCTTTTTCTACCACAAATTGAGCTTTCTTTTGGTGGTATTTTATCGCCTGTGCATTTTTTTAAATTTTTAGGTCATAACCAACAATTTTGAGAAAAAAAAAAACAATATTTGACTTTTTGCTATTAAACATGTCCAGTAAAAAAAATTAAAAAAAAAAAAAATTTTATCGTAAATTTAGGCCAAAATGTATTCTGCGACCTGTCTTTGCTAAAAAAAAAAAAAAAAATGCAATACGTGTAAATGAATTGGTATACATGAAAATTATAGCGTTTACAAATGGCGGTATAGATAATGGGATTTTTTTTATTTCCTACAAATAAAAGTGACTTTTAGCGGGACTGCGGCAGATATTCTGATACTGGGGGGAACTAACTTGGTGTCACTGACATCTCCAGTGACACCAATACAGTGATCAATGATAAATAAAAAGCACTGACACTGTACTAATGGCACTACCGAAAATGCGAAATCACGTATATATATGTATAATTTTGCGCACAGGTGCCGCCCTGTAGCAGTATATTTACTATAGGGCGGTCCTTAAGCATTTAAAGAACTTGTCAAAAAACTGTCCTTCTGTTTTTAGTCACGTTTTACACTTTTTTGGTGAATGAGTAGGAGTACCATGTACCCCATACTCCTTCACAAAGTCAAATGGCAAAGTTGTGTTTGTCACATGTCATACTTAAGAAATTCTGAAGGGATCGAGTCACACTGGTATATACCCTTTAAAAACTATGCAAAAATAGGGATATTTGGTTCACACTGTTTTTTAGTCACGTTTTACACTTTTTTGGTCCTACTCTGCCCTGCCAACGCAAGAGTAGCATAGGGGAAAAAGACACAATGGGGAGAGCTACCTGGCATGTACCCCATAAATCCATCACAAAGTAAGCTGGGATTTGAGCACAGGGTTTCTTGTTTCATGTCATACTTAAGTCGCATCGAGTCGCCAGGAAGTCGCCTGGCAAGGTCACACTGTAAGTCATGAGACATTTAGGTCACAGTAGTGGGAACCGAGCCTTAGTCTCCTTCACTCCTCAACTGTTATTTTCCTCCTGATATTTGTTGTTATTGTTGTTTGTTTCTAATTATTAACTATTAATACTTTAAACTTTTTTTTTTTGTTTTTGTTTAGTTCATTAAATATGTTTACACATTTAACATATATTTACACATTTCCCATTTAGGGCCAGTTCACACCAGCAATGTGCTGTTAATTTCTGTGTGATTCACATGTAGTTCTGTTTGGTGTGATATCGCATTGGAACCAGATCACATGGTACTTCTGTTTGATCCAGTACGGACAAACACACTGCATTTGTGACCTGTGTTTATGGCATCATTAACCTTTTTTTTTACGCCTGCTGCTGACCGCAATTGCAGTGTGTTTTTTGAATATGGTATGGGAAATGCGCACAGAACAAGAGTTTACAGCACTGCATTCTTGTGTGAAAGAGAAAAACTGAACAAATATAGATATATTTCATTTGTGAATACTGTAACTTTGTAATGCTTTGTACCATAATCCATATTTTAGTGTCATTTTAAACAGGCATTTTATGTGCAGTAACACTATTTATTTTTAAATGAACACTTCTCAAAAAAGCAAAGTACAATTTCTTTATTCTTCTTGCGAACAAAAAAAAAAATTGCATGACAATATTGTGAAAAGAAAGCCTTGTTTGTCCTTACATTGTTATCTTTTGTGATGACAATGTAATTGCTGAATAAACAGGTCCATAGTAGAAATGTAATAGGTGCTCTGGTCCATAAGGGGTGAACAAGTGTGAAAGGCACAGTGGTTCAAGTGTACCCCTGTAAAAAAGGATTTAAAGGATAAGTTCACCTTTTGGTAAAAAATAATAAATGCAGGCAAAATAAAATGTGCATTTATTATTTTTTTGCTGCAGGAGTCTGTAAAGCAATGCACCAGCCATCAGTAGATTGCTGGTGTCATGCAGGTCTCCTGCAGACCCATCAGTATATCTTCTTGCCTGTATGGGATGTACGAGCAAGCAGATACACTGCCAGGAAGATTCAATGAACTACCACGGTGCTCCACAGTGCCGTGGCAGTACTTTGAGAACTACAAGCCGACAGCTGCTAAGACTGAATTCACACTTGAGTGTTTTGTAGCTTGAAGCTCCAAAAACGCTCAAAACTTAAAAAATCAATTGTTCTTTATGGTGATTGTTCGTGCGATCAGATGTGAACAAGCACCATATAGAACAATTGATTTTTTTAGGTTTGAGCTTTTTTAGAGCTTCAAGCTACAAAACTCTCAAGTGTGAATGCAGCCTGGGGCTGTCGGGACTTGTCATTTCTTATTCACAGAGGAGTGATGCGGTCAGGCATGCAGAACCTCGCACAACCACATTTAAAAACAATTTGACAGCTAGCAGGGAGGGGAGAAGATCCCCTGCTAGCTGTCAAAGCGGGGCGGATTGGTGGGTAGCAGGGGCCGGTGCTTTCATAACATGTTACACCCTGCATATGGATATAACATGTAACATGTTATGAAAAGTGAACTATCCTTTAAGCAAAGAGAATCTCCAAGTAAATAGCACATACCTTTAGTTTCCAGGGAACTTTTCGGAAGCCTGGTAAGACAAACAAAGTCCACACTGCATACACTGCAGCCGTCATACCCGCTGCACACCACGGCAACTTGGAGTTATACTTGTCACTGAACACAAACTTTGTTGACTTGTGGAATAAAATGGTGTCAATGTTATCTTCCATTTTAAAAATGCTGTCAGGGGGAAAAAAAGAAAATATACTTAAACTGTGTCTAAAGCTAATTTTTTTTGGAGAAAGTAGGCAAGGACTAGAACCTCTGTCAGGTTTTTATTGCTTTGTGTCTCCTCAATGGAGAAATTGAAAATGGTGAGTTGTCTCTGGAACAAGAACAGAGGGGAAATCACCTAATCAGAATAAATCAAAGTGTATCTTCCATGCTGTTTCCCCACTCACAAAAATATGTATTAAAAAAAAAAAAAAAGTGAAATAACCACACAATGTAAAAACAACTAAAACGAGGGCCATTCACGTGAAACTGGGACTTTTGAGTTTATATCATAAAAGAACAAATTGCAAGGAGTAGAAACTGCATTTAATTTTCAACATACTCCTCTGCTACATTTATACACTTCTCCAAGCATTTAACTAATGTCTGGAAAGCTTTGGCATAGGAAGGTTTGTCAGTATGCCTGAACCATCCTTGGACAGCCTAGTACAGTGCTGAAATGCTGACCACAGAAAGATTTGTCTCTTGTGCAATTTCACGACATGTATGTGTCAATTATCCAGGTGTGGCCATCTTTGAAATGTGTACACCATTCAAATGTCTTACTGCAGCTGAGCATCTCATTACTATACTGTGCTTGACGTCTTCTGTAGATATCTGTGGGTTTTACACCTTTGTTCACAAGAAACTTCATCACCACACTCTACTCCTTGCACGCACTGACACTATTGGCTGCCATTTTAATTAATGGTCTCTGGACTGGTCCTTGATAAGTGCGCCGCCCATCGGTAATAGGTCACGCGTGCCACCTTCTATTGCGTGCAGTACCACCACAGATAGCATCCCTTTTAGACCTGTAAAATTAAAAGTCCCAGTTTGACTTGAACACCCCATTTTATATAATATATATATATATATATATATATATATATATATATATATATACACACACACACACATACACACACACACACACACACACACATCTCAAAAAAATTAAAGGAATACTTTTTGATAAGGGTATAACACCAAGTCAATTAAACTCCTGGGACACTGCCTTGTCAGTTAAGTAGCAGAGGGGGTTGTTAATCAGTTTCAGCTGTTTTGGTGTTAATGAACAACAATGAGACGACCCCCAAAACAGGAATAATTTTACAGATGGAGGCCAGTGAAATTTTTTTTTCCTTACTTATCTTTTCTGACTGTTTTTTACTAGTTTTGCATTTGGCTAGGGTCAGGGTCACTACTGGTAGCATGAGGCAATACCTGGACCCTACAAAGGTTGCACAGGAGTCCAACTCCTCCAGGATGGCACATCAACACAGACCATTGCTAAAGGTTTGCTGTGTCTCCCAGCACAGTCTCAAGAGCATGGAGGAGATTCCAGGAGACAGGCAGTTACTCTATGATAGCTGGACAGGGCTGTAGAAGGTATTTAATCCATCAGCAGGATCGGTATCTGCTCCTCTGTGCAAGGAGGAACAGGATGAGCACTGCCAGAGCTCTACAGAATGACCTCCAACGTCCACTGGTGTGAATGTCTCTGACCAAACAATCAGAAACAGACTTCATGAGGGTGGCCTGAGGGCCTGACATCCTCTAATGGGCCCTGTGATCACTGCCTGGCACCATAGAGCTCGATTGGCATTTGCCATTAAACACCAGAATTGTCAGGTCCACCACCGGCGCCCTGTGCTTTTTACAGCTGAGGGCAGGTTCACCCTGAGCGCATGTGACAGACATGAAAGGGTCTGGAGAAGCCGTGGAGAACATTATGCTTCCTGTAACATCATTCAGCATGACAGTTTTGGTGGTGGGTCAGTGATGGTCTGCAGAGGCATATCCATGGAGAAACGCACAGACCTCTACAGGCTAGACAGTCGCAACGACTGTCATTAGGTATCGGGATGAAATTCTTGGACCCATTGTTAGACCCTATTCTGGTGCAGTGGGTCCTGGGTTCCTCCTGGCCCACATGGAAGAAAAATGGCAAAATATATTCTTCCCAAATATATTGACATATATATTGAAATGCTACAATTTTGGCCATATTCAATATACTTCTATATACACACATATATATATGCAGTCAGGTCCATAAATATTGGGACAGCGACACAATTCTAACATTTATTGGCTTTATACACCACCACAATGGATTTGAAATGAAACAAACATGATGTGCTTTAACTGCATACTGTCAGCTTTAATTTGAGGGTATTTACATCCAAATCAGGTGAACGGTGTAGGAATTACAATAGTTTGCGTATGTGCCTCCCACTTGATAAGGGACCAAAAGTAATGGGACAATTGGCTTCTCAGCTGTTCCATGGCCAGGTGTGTGTTATTCCCTCATTATCCCAATTACAATGAGCAGATAAAAGGTCCAGAGTTCATTTCAAGTGTGCTATTTGCATTTGGAATCTGTTGCTGTCAACTCTCAAGATGAGATCCAAAGAGCTGTCACTATCAATGAAGCAAGCCATCTTTAGCTGAAAAAAACAAAACAAATCCATCAGAGAGAAAGCAAAAAACATTAGGCGTGGCCAAAACAACTCTTTGGAACATTCTTAAAAAGAAGGAATGCACCGGTGAGCTCAGCAACACCAAAAGACCCGGAAGACCACAGAAAACAGCTGTGGTGGATGACCGAAGAATTCTTTCCCTGGTGAAGAAAACACCCTTCAGAACAGTTGGCCAGATCAAGAACACTCTCCAGAGGTAGGTGTATGTGTGTCAAAGTCACCAATCATGAGAAGACTTCACCAGAGTGAATACAGAGGGTTCACCACAAGATGTAAACCACTGGTGAGCCTCAAAAACAGGAAGGCCAGATTAGAGTTTGCCAAACGACATCTAAAAAAGCCTTCACAGCTCTGGAACAACATCCTATGGACAGATGAGACCAAGATCAACTCGTACCAGAGTGATGGGAAGAGGAGAGTATGGAGAAGGAAGGAACTGCTCATGAACCTAAGCATACCACCTCATCAGTGAAGCATGGTGGTGGTAGTGTCATGGCGTGGGCATGTATGGCTGCCAATGGAACTGGTTCTCTTGTATTTATTGATGATGTGACTGCTGACAAAAGCAGCAGGATGAATTCTGAAGTGTTTTGGGCAATATTATCTGCTCATATTCAGCCAAATGCTTCAGAACTCATTAGACGCCGTTTCACAGTGCAGATGGACAATGACCCAAAGCATACTGCAAAAGCAACCAAAGAGTTTTTTAAGGGAAAGAAGTGGAATGTTATGCAATGGCCAAGTCAATCACCTGACCTGAATCCGATTGAGCATGCTTTTCACTTGCTGAAAACAAAACTGAAGGGAAAATGGCCCAAGAACAAGCAGGAACTGAAGACAGTTGCAGTAGAGGCCTGGCAGAGCATCACCAGGGATGAAAACCCAGCGTCTGGTGATGTCTATGCGTTCCATACTTCAGGCTGTAATTGACTGCAAAGGATTTGCAACCAAGTATTAAAAAGTGAAAGTTTGATTTATGATTATTATTCTGTCCCATTACTTTTGGTCCCTTAACAAGTGAGAGGCACATATGCAAACTGTTGTAATTCCTACACCGTTCACCTGATTTGGATGTAAATACCTTCAAATTAAAGCTGGCAGTCTGCAGTTAAAGCACATCTTGTTCGTTTCATTTCAAATCCTTTGTGGTGGTGTATAGAGCCAAAAATGTTAGAATTGTGTCAATGTCCCAATATTTATGGACCTGACTGTATATACATTTTTGGAATGCATTTACAAATATATGTAAAAATATATGTTAAAAAAAAATCTGAAGAATATATTTTAAAAAAATATATTTTTAAAAATATAAAAATATATTCCACTGCCAACTGATAGTGGTATTACTACAAAGTGGAAGCAACTGGGAACAACAGCCACTCAGCCAGTGGTAGGCCACGTAAATGACAGAGCGGGGTCAGCACATGCTGAAGCGCACAGTGTGCAGAAGTCACCAACTGTCTGCAGAGTTAATAGCGAAGGACATACAAACTTCATGTGGCCTTTATATTAGCACAACAGTGTGTAGGGAGTTTCATGGAATAGGTTTCCATGGCCTAGCAGCTGCATCAAAGCCTTACATCACCAAGTGCAATGCAAAGCATCAGATGCAGTGGTGTAAAGCACGACGCCACTGGACTCTAGAGCAGTGTTCTCTGGAGTGATGAATCATGCTTCCCTGTCAATATGATGGATGTGTCTGGGTTGGCGGTTGCCAGGAGAACTGTACTTGCCTGACTGCATTGTGCCAAGTGTAAAGTTTGGTGGAGGGGGGATTATGGTGTGGGGTTATTTTTCAGGGGTTGGGCTTGGCCCCTTAGTTCCAGTGAAGGGAACTCCTAATGCATCAGCATATCAAGACATTTTGGACAATTTCACGCTCCCAACTTTGTGGGATCATTTTGGGATGGCCCCTTCCTCTTCCAACATGACTACACCAGTCCTGACCTCAACCCAACAGAACACCTTTGGAATGAATTAGAGCAGAGACTGCAAGTCAGGCAACTTTTGAGCACTTTTATATTTTATTTTTTGGAAGGGGGGCAGGAACAAGTACCTACTTTTGACAGTTACCCGCTCTCAATTCCACCCAGATCAGCTAGGAGATCTGAGCGGAAGTTCATCCCCACCCATTTGGCCGTAGGTTTTCTGGGACATGTCACAGGTTCCAGGAGGCTGAGGGGCTATTCACAAAGAGCGATGCAGCTCGCACATGCACAGTGTGAAGCCACAAGGAGTCACAGCTGGCTTCCCATAGTAAATGTTAGAACCAGGGTCTAGAAGACCAGTGAAGTGGCCCAGGTGAGGACAGTGCTGGATCACTGCACAGGCGAGTGTCCTTTTATTAAAAGCTAGCAACTACAGTATTTAAGTTGCATAGTTGTAAGTCGTGTAACTCCTAATGGCAGCTTTCTGCCCTCCACTGGCCTGTTTTTAGGATGTTACAGCCGCTGGGCATTCGTACCTTAGCATCACAGCAGGGAGCAC